ATTAAAAATTAATTTTTGATGAGTTGAATATATATATATATATATATTAATGTGGAATTTATGCTTTGTTATTATTGTTATTTGAATGAGTTTAAGAAATTTCACATGATTTTATATAAATTTTATTTTTTGTGTAAGAAAGGACTCAATTGGAAGAAATCATAACTTTTAAGACCAAAATAAAAAGACAAAGAAGTTGAAGATTATGTTATGCAGAAACTTGAAGTTATGGACCAGTTCTCTCATTTTGCCATAAATCAAAATTTCTTTCAAGGCCAAAATCCCTGACACGGAGTGGTCCTCACCTATATATTAAAGGCATCGGCACTTCCTTTAGCGTACCGACACCGCAAGCGATTTCTAGGCCTCTTACGTTAAGTCCTCATTATTTTGCATCCTATGTCTATTTCGATTAAAGTTTTTTAAAATCTTATAAATGCACATTTAAGATTCAAATTAGAGGAGTTTTGGGAGAAGGCTAGTGGCAACTCTCTTTTGTGAGTATTCCTAAAAATCGAAATAAATGATTCATTAACAATAAATATTAAGAATTTTAATTTTTCTCAAATTAGATTTTATTTTTCTTTAAAATTTTTTATTTTTTATTTAATATTTTTATATTCATAACTATAATTTTAAGTTTTATTATTTTTATTATGAAATAATTTAATCAATTAAGACTATGATGTAACTTAATCAATTTAATATAAATTTTATCATTTTTATAATTTTAATTAAAATTATTTGCATAATGTGTTTTTATTATTGATCTTAATGCTTTAGAAGCTTGATCACCTTTTAATAATTATGTGATTTATGTATGAACTTAAAAATAATTGCATAAATTAGACCAATAACAATACAAATCATGTATTAGATTGTGAGATCAAGAGATAATTAGTGTCACATATATGATAATAAGGGAAGAGAAGAGAGTTAGGAGCTTTCTCTTCTTAAATTAGAAGTTTCCACATCAGTTAATGCTCACTAATTTATCTTAACTTATATAAAGATATAACTAATTTAGCAACCAAGTGAAAGATTAACTTGAGTTAAGAAAGCTAATTAGTTAATGAATTTGTCTATCCTATACCCCAAGAGCATAGGATAAGATTCATTTATTGTACCTTTTTTATCATTAATCATGCATTAATTTATATAAAAAAATAAAAAATAAAATAAAATTAATTTTAACATTTATGATACATGAATATTTTTTAGACAATTGGTAAAATTAATATTGACTTTTAGTTTTACTATATGTATTAATAATAAAAAATGTACAATAAATCCACTCTTAAGGTACAGAATAGAAAAGCTCTTAGTTAATTTAAGAGACTCCACTATCACATAAAATAACACTTAATAAATTAATTTTAAAAATATATTAATATAGAATTTACATTATTTAATTATGGTAAAATCAAATGCTTTGGTAAGTAGTTATTTTAAAAGAATCCACTATCACATACAATAATACTCTATAAAATTGATCTTAAAAATA